CCCCAAAACCCCAAAACCCCATGCATCCATTAACTCAGCAAAATTAAGTATTTAGAAGTTAAATTCATTTCATAGCAACAAACAATAACTTTCAATTCTCACTTTTTAGTTTGAATTTTTATTAGCATTCTTATCAAGCGAAAAGAAAACTCTTAGAAGTAATCTCTCCTTTTAGATCCAAAGCGAAGGTATCATTAAATGGCATGTGATGTCTATCACCACCAAACACGATAAAATATTTCCCAAACATAATACCACTGTGACCATCTCTTGCGGCCGGCCTTTTTCCTTTGTTTTTTCCATAAGAAGTGTCATTTCCAGTCATCATTTAAGATGTATTGTGTTAGGTGTTTTATTAATTGTTATTGAACGTAGAAGATAAATTTTACTATTGCTTTCTCTTTTTCATTGAGCTATAGTATTGATCGAAACTAGTATCCGCATTTTTAATGATAAAGGAGTTCATCATTGATATTGATGTTGGAGTAGTCAGCTGAATAGCACTCATCATTTGGCCATTGACTTTATTGTTTCTGCTCATTGGTTGAGTGTGATGAGTACTAAGATTAAGATTTTTCTTTATTTTTGAGGAAGTTGAGGGTTTTAATATCTTAGAGGAAGTTTTGGGAGGTGAGCCTGTTTTTCTTACATTTGGAGAACTATTAGACATTTTTTTGGGACTAATTCCTCCAATGGGAGAGACCTCTTCATTTGCTTAAGGAGATTAGTCTCTCTTCGGTGAGTGAGATTCTTCGAAGATTGTAATCCATCTTGACCTCTTAAAGTCAAACATGTACAAATCGTTGAGTTCTTTGGTAATTTCATAGATTCCTCCGAAAATAACCATAAATGAGTCAAATATATCGCATGAGTGTCCTGCTCTCTCTAGGGGGATTATATCATCAGTAAGTTTAACTTCATTCCACTAGTAAGTATTCAAGTCTAGCCTCCATAAATCATTCAATTTATTATTATCATCATCTTTTCCTCCGAAAACATACATAGCGTTTTCAAAGATGCATGCGCTATGCCCACTTCTTGGAGATGGTTAAAGTGAACCAATGGGAAGATTTAATTTTACCCATCTATTTTCCTAGAAGAGATACTTGATAATCTCATTGGTTCTTTCACCATTGCAAAACCCTCCAAAGATAATCATCGAACTCTCATTCTCATAGACAATGCAAGTATGCTCATCTCTAGTAATTGGTAAATCTCCTCTTGACTTGACGACATCCCATCTAAAATGATTCAAATCTAAGGAGAAAAATTTTCTATTCTCGAATTCTAGATTTGAGCCACCGAATAGAAACATTTTATCACCAAACACGACAGATGTATGATGAGCTAGACAACCTGGTTTATCATCACCCTTAGTGGTTACTTATTTCCATTGGCAATCTTTGCTTTACAAAGAAGGGTCTAAATCAAGGTCTTTTAGTTTTCTCAAGTCTAAAACCCACAAAGAATCCTTAGAACCCTCTCTGATATCATGCCCTCCGTAGATGTAGAGCCTATAAATAATGATACTTACAAAAAATGTTATACTTTTTGTTGTGTTGAAAAGAGGAGTGATAACCTCTCCTGTCTGGTCCCAGACTTGAGAACCTTAGTTCGAACCAATTATCATTATCGCCATAATATCTACTGTTATCTCTCACAGGAAAAAGTAATCTTGGATCTGCTTCATCATACTTTAATTGCGAATTCTACATATCTCTCTTGCCTAAATTGTAATGGTCAACACTTAGTTTCTTTTCCTCCATAGGTTTGTATATTTGCTAACTTAGAATAAAATAAATAATTGCTTATAAAACTTTAAATTAAAGTTAATAATATAAATAGGTTCCTAGTCAGCCTATTGTAATATTAAAAGTAGTAAAATTAAAGATGTCTAGTGGAAGCCACTTGTCAAAAGAATTACTAGATTTAGTCAAATCAATAGGAGAGTCAAGGTCAAAGCAAGAGGAAGATAAGATTATCACAGCTGAGGCTTAGATTCTAAAACAAAAGTTCCTCGAAAGAAATATTGGTGAAAAGAAACTTAGAGAGCTTTTAATAAGAGCAATTTATGTAGAAATGCTTGGCCATGATGCCTCTTTTGCACATATCCATGCAGTAAACTTGACTTAAAGCAAGAATTTACTAGTGAAGAAGATTGGTTATCTAGCTTGTTCTCTCTTTATTGATGAAAATTCAGAGTTATTGATCCTAATGATATGCACTATTTAAAGAGATTTACAATCAAAGAACCACCTTGAAGTACTATCTGCTCTTACAGTAATTGGAAAGCTCTGCAATTAGCACATTCTAATGGCTGTAAATGATGCAGTTTAAAAACTACTCACGCACGCTCATGAAATGATCAGAAAGAAGGCAGTAATGGTACTCTTCAAGATGTACTAGACTCAACCCAATATTTTCGATCAAGTTGACCTCAAAATGAAAAAAGCTTTGTGCGATAAAGATCCTTCTGTAATGTCTGCAACTCTAAACTATTTCTGTGAATAAGTTAAGTAGAGACCTGGTGATTTCAAGGATCTGGTGAATTCATTTGTAGTTATTCTTAAATAAGTAGTTGAGCACAGATTACCTAGAGACTATGACTATCATAGACTACCTGCACCTTGGATTTAAATCAAAATTCTAGAGATTTTATCTTACTTAGGTGCGGATGATAAATCTACAAGTGAATAGATGTACGAAATAATCAATCAAGTTTTGAAGAGAGCAGATGATTCTGGTATTAACATTGGATATGCCCTAGTTTATTAATGTTTGAAGTGCATTACTATGATATACCCTTCTCAATCTTTAATTGATGCAGCCACTACAACTATTTCAAGATTCCTTAGCAGTGAATCTCACAATCTCAAATACATTGGTATTACTGGTCTATCTTACATTGTAAAGATTGATCCCAAATATACATTGAATTATCAAGGATTAGTCGTCGATTGCCTCGAAGATGCTGATGATACTCTCAAGATTAAGACTCTTGATTTACTTTTCAAGATGACAAATAAATAAAACGTTGAAGCTATTGTTGAGAAGCTTTTGAGTTATCTAAAGGAAGCTCCAATTGAGTCAAGTGTTAGAAAAGACCTAGTCATTAAAATCAACAGTTTATGTGAGGATTTTGCGCCTTCCAAAAACTGGTATGTCAGAACAATGAATAAGCTTTATGAAATGGGAGGAGATCTTATCACAAGTGACCTTTCAAACAAATTCATTTCATCAATCAGTGAGTATGAAAAAGAAAGTGAGGGTGAAAAATTCAGAGATTCAACAATTACAATTTATCTTAAGATATTAAAGAAGAACACTATCATTCCAGACTCAATGTTACAGGTTATAGCTTGGATAATGGGAGAATATGGATCTACTCTACCTAACTAAAAGAAAATGATAAAGATTTTAAATTATTTATCAGATGCAGCCTATAGACCCTTAGAAGATGAAATTACAAGAGGCTATATTCTTACTGCGATAACAAAGCTTCATGCAACAATGGGATTCATTGAAAATCCAAAGGTTGATATGGTCATGTATGATTATCTTTACAGTAAGCATTGTGATGTCTAACAAAGAGCAATCGAATATAAAGCACTTAAAGAAAATTCAACTAGAGTAAGCAAAGATATACTGACTAAAATACCTTTAAATGAAGGTTAAATTGCTTCTCAAGGTTTTGATTTTGAACTCTCATTCCTCGATTCATTTGTAAGATAATAAGTCACCAATGGAAGAAAAGAATATGATGCAAGAAAGAGACAAACTTTCGGTGATATGGGTGGTCTCGATATTATGCCAACTGGATTCCCCAAGGGTGAGAAAGGATTAAATTACAAACCATATGATGCTCCAGGTATGTCCAGAGTAAACACTGAACTTCCTTAGAGTAACCCATTATTCTAGACTTAGCAAGTTGTAAATCCTAATGAAAATATTTAACTATAAGGTGTAAATAAAAAGGTTTGGGGGCAATAACCACCTCAAGTATAATAAAATGCAACTACTACACCACATTATGAATCAGCAAACAATTTGAAATTAGCTACATCAACACTAGATAATTTGAATAATGAGCAATAAACTGCTAATACAACCTAATAAAAGGCATAACCAAAGACACAGCCAGCATAAGAAGTTAAACTAAAGAAAGCACAAGGACTTTTTGCTGGTATTGGAGCTACATCTAAAGTAGAAGATAATAGCAGTGATGAGGACAAGAAAAAGAAAAAAAAGAAGAAGGATAGAAAGGATAAGGAAAAAGAAGAGGAAAAAGAATAAACTGAAGTTCAATCTAATACCACCACAACTACTCAAGCTTCTCAAAACAACAACTTGATTGATCTATTAGACTTTGATTCTCCTCCCATTAGTACCCAATAGCAAATTTCAGGAAATCTCTTAGATACAGGAATTGCACAGCAATAATAGCCCGTTGCAACTACAACTAATCTGCTCGATGATCTATTTGGCGGAGGCTCAATGCAAAGTTCTAATGCAATGAATAGTGCTGGCCATACATTCTAACCCATGCCAATAAATACTCAACAATTTGGAGAGCTTTGGATGCAGTTCCCAGTTGATAGAAAAGCAAACATGAATATTCCTCTCATTCAAAACGTATAAGTCTATACCAATCAAATTAAAAGACTAGATTTCCATGTAGTTGAAATCATAAATAATGAAGTAATTAGCGCAGGATCATCTAGGCTGAATGGCTCTCAGAACTTAATACATTGTAGAGTAAATCCAGGAGGTAATCTAGAATTCACAATCAAATCCTAGCATGCAGAAACTGCAGATTAGCTATTAAATTCATTAGTGCCGCAAGCAATGTCATAAAATCTATTTTGATTCTAAATACTTCTGAATATTTATTAAGATCTATTTAAATTCTGCTTCTTTTCAAAAGCTGGGGTTTTGGGGTTTTGGGGTTTTGGGG